TCAGAAGATAAACCACTGGAGGTCAGCAAAAACAAGATTTCTAGAAGATGTTACATTGCTCTTTACGTGACTCCAGACTAAGAAATACGTCAGCCTAAAAATATAGCTGAAGGGTTGTTTTACTGTATCTCCTATTATACTGTACTGATTAACTGCAAACTGTACATGTTTCCATCTGCAATCAAGACAGTAGTAGCAGATGAGTGCCAGTGGTACAGGGTACTTTTAGATAGAGGTGGATATAATTCATAACTCATGTAGATTTGTCTTGGAGGTTTTTTGAGTACAGGGAAATTTACATACATCCAAATTTAGCAATTTTTAGATTTTCAGATTTAATGAAGGACTAAATGCTTTTTTTTATATGTGGATGGCATTCTCTTATGAATTAGGCTAATGAAACAGATTTTTTTGTACATATTTGAGCAGTTTTCAATACATATATATATATACATACATATAATAAGTAATCTTTTTTTCTACATGAATAACATTTAAGCCAAGCAACAACATTTCTACTTGAGTGGGTTAGCCTTCTACAGTGCTCTCTTGCCTTTAAGGTCACAGTTTGTTGCTTACCTTGCCTCTGCATTTGCCCTTGTTGATGATCTTCAGAGCGTACTCCCGTCCTGTGGAGTGCTCCACACATTCCCGGACCACTGCAAAGTTCCCATCGCCTAACATGCGTCCCACCTTGTAGCGGTCTGATATGTAGGACGGCACAGCTGGAACCTCATCGACTAGAACCTCAGCTGCAGGGAGGAAGCACGAGGTTTAGAGCAGGTGAGGTTTATGTAAAATTTGAGACAGTTCTGTGTCCTCTTTGAGTAAACAAATGGTTCTTTAACTTAAGTTGATTAATAAAATAAATGAATAATGAGTGGCCGTTTTCCTTCATGAAGTCACCAAATCATTGTTTGCCAACCTTTACAAAATTTACCAGCACATCATTGTTTGTAGTGTTACAGAGTTTTATGTAGGCCGAGAGTTTGAGAAAGAACAGGATGTACAAATCAGAAGCGAGAGCAGAGACAGGAGAAATGGGAAAGAGAGAGAAAGATGCATCAAAGGTCATGAACATGATTCAGACATGCATGATATTTGCGAGTACATCGCCTTTGCCCACTGGACAGATGGCACGTACTTGTAACAATAAGTTTCCTCACCTTCAGTAACAAGTCCATCCCCATCTTCCACCGAGCTGGAAACTTTAGTGGAAGACAAAGAGGTGGAAGAACCCTGGGACCCCTGCAGAGAGGGAGGGGGTACACAGAGAGCAGGGTGGCAAGAGAAAAAGGGGGGGAGACAATTATTTAAACCTTTATTATTACCAAAAAATGTTTGTAATCCACTCCACACTCAACAAAACATGTTAAGTGTCCCTTCTCCTGCAATCTCAGCCGACACAAATGCGTAAGTCCAAAAATAGACAAAAAAGGACATTTTGCAACTCATCTCATCCTCAGAACATCCTTAAGTCTGTCTTTGTGTTTGAATGTCTGTCTGTTGTAATGTGCCTGCCTGTGTTATGTGTATACTGTGCTCACAAAAAGAGCCAGAACAGATTTACTTAAGCTACTGAGCTGAATATAAACCGGTTACTTATTCAGCAAAGCACCTGTGTGTGTCCACGTTGGACAGAGGACTGCATCCCAATGAGCTCCTCTCCATTCACAGAACTTTAAGTAATTCCTATCTAACTGTGCCTTCCTTTTACTACTAACTACCACCCTTAATAAAACATAAAAACACAGGTTTTGGTGACACTAATAAAGGCGGATGAATACTGCCTTTCATCTGGTTGGTAAGTAGGAGGTCATTAAGGGGAAAGAGAATCAGCATCTATCGAAAGACAAAAACTCATTACGCCCTCCACCTCCTAACCTTCTGTCTGGTTGTCATGGGAGCAACGAGGGTTGGGAGCGAGGATCTAGTCGGGACTGTAAATGAGAATCTACCCCTCTGGTATTTCTGGTCTTTTTTCCACTCCTGTCCATCTTTCTGTTCTCCTCCACAACCTGTTGTAGGCTTTAAATTATTTTCCTACATTTGGACAATTTGATTATGCTTTATTTGTCCAAGCAGGCACTTGTCAGGACGGCCTCTTCTCTTCTTAGTCTCTTCATTTGTAAGATGAAAATTTTATCAAGTGTTTTATCAATGTCTATCTTTTCTCACATTCCTACCCTTCCTCCTCTCCTCTCCCCTCCCCCTCTTCCCAAATCCTCTCTCCTGCCTCGCAGTGAGTCCAGAGACATAGCTGTGAAAAATCTTTGTGGGTTTCCAGTGCTTGAATCAATCCCACAGGTGCAGCTGCTGCGTGAAGCCCGACCAGTGATGGAAGTGGAAGCCATCACTATTTCTCTAATATATAAGCGGAGCCCCATGGCCGATGTGAATTATTAACAAGTGCAGTCCGTCCTGTGTGTGTGATGCATGAGCCAATCTTCATGTGAAATATTGAACCCATAGAGTGCGGTACATCAGCAGTTTGTTGCTGACCACCTCTCACTAATGTTGTCTGGCGGTTGATACATTTTCCTGTCATCTCTCATTTCACTGCACGTGTAGTATTTTTTGATGCTCTCCTGTGATGAATTCATATCACATAGTGTAATTCACACATCGATCGGTCCTGAATCATTAAAGGAGATGAGATCTAAAAAGTGTTGCTGAATTAACGGATTCTGGCTGTTGCTACTTTGTGGAATTTGAAGCCAACAACAGCAAGCATTTGTAACAGGGCCACGAATAAAAGGAGGCCAAATTTGGCACAAAAAATTTGAACAATATGTTATTATGGCATGGTAAAAGATCACAAAACAAAATGTGGGTCAAATTAAATCTGATATCATACTTCTGATTTTACAAAGTGGGTTTTCAATCTATAAAACGTTTGCTGGGAACTGATCTTGGCCATTTGAAGGAAAACGTGCGAGCAATAATTCAGCTTGTACAGAAAGGGGTGCAGACCATATTCCACAAAATAAAAGTATTTTTCATCCGCTTTCAATTCTTTCTAATCAGCCCTAATGTGAAACTTTCATTTCTATGGTGTCCAGTCGGCCTGTGATACAGCCTGGAGAGCTTGCTGTCCTGGCAGAGGGGTGAAAAAGGCAACCCATCATACTGACTTAGATTTGAAAACTATTTACAGAGCTGAGCTGCCCTATATCTCTCTGCCCAAGTAGCTGTCAGCTCTTTTACTCATCTTCACTGCTGTGACCTGAAAGCCACCCAGGTGAATGTAGCAATGAGTCAGGCTGAATTTGGTTTATGTAATGTTGTTTTTGGTCGGTCACTCGTCCCGTACAAGAAAACCCACTTAATGCCCATAAAGCAGATGACCCTCCTGTTCTGTATCTACAAAACATCCCTCTTCCGCTCTTTTATTTTCTCATCCCGACTCATGTGTTTACCTCTCCTGTGCCCTTATCTCACATCCAGCCCTGTCCTCTACTCGCTTTCTCATTTTGCACCCTATCTCTTCCTTCTTGCCGGCAAGGGAAACAAAATGTTGTTGCTATGGAAACTGCTCACAGAGAGGAGAGAGGCAGCTTATGAGACTTCCAGTGTGGAGACAGGAGCCTATATATGGCCATTTCCTGTCTGCGGGCCGGGAGGTGCGGTTCAACCTTCTATGAACATTGTGTCTCTCTTTCCTGTGTGAAAAACTACGAGACAGATGGAGTGACAGACAGAGCGAGAAAGACAGAGAGACAGAGAGAGAGAAAAAGGCAAACAAAGAGACAGGAAGAAAGATGTATGGAGACTGGTCGGGTTGATATTGGTCATTAGATTTGGCAGGAACTGTCTTGTTATTGTTAGACCATCCAGCTTTCGCCCTGTTGCACAATATGACATACACTATTCCTAGCTCTACATCTCTACACTTTTGCTCTGGCTATGACTCACCCTGCTAAAGAACATACTGACAAACCTTTTACATCATGGCTGCAGCCACCGCTCTTCAAACCCGCAAGGCCAACACTCAGTGACTGAATACTGATCAGTGCATAAATATGAATTAAACAGGTTGGCCATGATTGACCTCAAACGTGGATCATCAATTCAGAAGCATATGTAGCAGTGGAAATAAAGATTTATTCTGTGGTTTAAAAGGAAGTCTGTCAGCTGTAGAATTCAGCACTAAAAATGCTCCACACATTAAAAAAAAAAAAAACAACTTAAGCCTAATGCTAGCCTTGTCCTCAATGCAACTGTTTGAATCTGATTACAACGCACATCTTAAAGCCTTCTCTCTCTCTCTCTCTCTCTCTCTCTCTGTCCCTCAGGCTGAGAGAGCCAAACCTCTTTTCCAAAAGCATTTCTTGTCACTTTCACTGTCATGCAATATCCAGCAAAAGAAGGATTTATTGGTGTTTGCTTTTTGTGGAAAAATCTAATAAGATTTGATAGAAACAGGCTACTTTGTTTTGTCCCAAGTTCCAACTCTGCCTCTCCTAAGGACACATGTTACAGGAGATAATATTTCTTCGCTCTTATTTTGGTGTCTAGACAGAAAGGAAAAATAATCTATTTGACTCTCATCTGATGAGATCAACACTGTTTGGGGTTTCTGTCTCTCTGGTCTGCCAGTTGGACACAGGGAAGGTTTCTAATCAAGATCCTTAAGGGTTGCCATCCCAAGGGAATCACAGAAATGTGATTAAATGCTTCAGGAAACAAGTTTTAAATGGGAGGGAGACTTAGGCTGCCTCACCCAAAAGAAAAAAGAACACCCAGAACAGAAGCAGTGGGACAGGGGACATGAACGCTCCTCTGGGACTGCATTTGTGCTGTAATCTTTTCTCTGCTGAATACAGAGAGTTTAACAAAGGAGAACGGCTGACAAACAAGTATATGAAGACAATCACCATCATCATGATCACCCTCCATCTACTGGAACTGATCTCTATATTTGTTATTGTATGTGATGAACATGTTAAATTAACACAAATCAGGAGCATGACAAGAAAAAAGAAAACACAAAATGAAAATGAAATGACAATGAGTTTAATGATGACATCAACAAATGGAAATTTAATACATTAAGCAAAGAAAATACAAACAGAAACAAATGAGCCAAGAAGAGCTGGCAGCCTTACATGACAAAAATCACAATATGTAGATGATGGTTATTTGCCTGTGAGTAGATCACACGTGCAATTTTTCACATTAGCAGATCTTCCATGTGTGTAAATTATGTCAAAAAAAAACAACAACAACACTGAATCCCTCTAAAAATGTAATGTTACCAATTTTTAGATGCATTAGATAGAGATTTAGATATGTAAATATGAGCCGGATTGGAATCATTTGAAGGACTAAAATGTTCAAGAAACAATGTTTACGCTTCAAAATTGCATCTTCCACAGTTTCCTCATGTGCTGCAGCCCAGTCTTTTTGGCAGGTACAGGAACAAAACTGGACAAGCCATCTAATGACACCGACACAACGTAAAATTAGAAATGTAATACAGCCACATAACAAATACAATCTTTAATAGCGACACTCACGTGAATGAGATGAGACAATAATTAGGACATTCAAGTTCTCCTTCAGTCTTCTCTCTCTCTATCTCTAATTATGAATCACCCAACACAAAATATGGACCGAGAGGATAGAGAGATGGAGCATGCAATTCAATGGATTATGGACACGAATGACTCAGTGGTGGTGAGAGGAGGATGTACATGTGACATGTTATGGCTGATGATTAGTGCTTTCTTTCTCTCACACACTCACAAACAGCTACCTGACTGTCTCACAGCTGTTGGATTGGCATCACTGCCTTCAATCTGTAGGTCACCACTACTGCGTATTGTTTGTTTTGTTTGTTTTTTTAAATATGATTTATTTCCCCGTCCCCTGTGTTTTTCACATCTAATGGAGCAAACAGACAGTGAGGAGATGTGACCTCGCCAGTTCAAAAAATTCAATTGTATGTGCTTTAGAGTGGATATTGACAGAAAACAAACGTAGGCTGTGTGAGGTTTCAAATAAAATATTAAAGCAATATAAGTATGGATAGCTAGGCTGCTCTTAGTGGCCCTGAAAGGACTATTTAGAAGTGCAAAGGAGAAGAGGGGGATGCCTGATTTCATGGATATAGGCCATTCTTTCATTCTTCTGTTCATAAATCTCATACTAGTGTGCACCAAATGTATAAAACACGTTTTTCATACATACATTAACATATAAGTGATTCTGTTGACAAATGCTATGACGGTATGTGCATGTCTGAGTGCTTGAGTCTATGTACATATGAAAGGGAAAGTAAGAAAAAGCCACAGTGCAAAGCTATGTCTGTGTTTTCCCCTCGGGGAAATAAGCTGTGATGGTCTCAGCTATGCGAGCAACCTACATCAGGCAGCAAAGTGCCTCTAAGTGTTTAAGTGTGCAGGGTCCAGTGAGGTGAACTATTTAAATGCAGGCCTCGTTGTAGGTCTGTGATGCTCTTTGGCTGCTTAGACAAGATTACTGGGCAATACTTTACAGGCAGATTTCAGTCATTTTTGAACCCCGGGCGTTCTTTTGAGAACTGTTAAAATTATAGTTTTATTTCATGGAAAAGGGGTCATTTCTGAGTCATGGTATAGTTAAATTGCATTGTGCATTTTAGGCGCAAGTGTGAGAAAGCTACTCGCTTGCCATTGTAAGCATAACAATAAAAAGATTTGGATGTGTGTACTCTACTCAATATTTATGATTATTCATGCACGTTTACACAGATATGACATAGTAGGAGAGAAAATGTGCAAATATAGTGTCAGAAACTCGGCACATACTTCTCAAAGAAGCTTAGAATTCATCTACAAGGGAAATAATGGAATATAATTTACTCCCTGTGACGTTAATACCCTTTCATATGGGGAAGTGAGACGGCGGAGCTGACTGGGTGGGGGTAATGGGTGAGAGATGGAATGAAATGAGAAACTGTCAGGGAGGGATGGGACAGAGGGAGAATCGCTAACAGGGGTGGGATGGGAAAAGTAAGAAGTAGAGGAGAGAAATACACCATCATATAGCTAAGAGTGTGAAGCTGCAGAGTGGCGAGAAGAGATAATGGCCTGTGAGGCTTCCTCCCTTCCTTCCAGCCAAGCCATTGCAGGCTTAGTATAGAGTGTCAGCAAGTACAAAGACTGGAGAAATACACACTCAACTTGTGAAACTCTGCAAAACTAGAATTTAATAGCAGTGTCACTGAGGTCAGAATTGCACTACAAAGCTAATTTGTGAAGGCTAATTTCTGATGAGAAAAGTGGACGGAAGCACAAATGGTGGTTGAATGTAGAGAGCCACTCTCCCCCTCCAACCCCGTACTTTTTCGGGATCTCTCTCTGAAACTGTGGAAATTATCTGGGAGGAAAGAAGGGAGCAGCACAAACTGAGCACTGTAATAGTCTACATTAACCGCCCCGCATGTGTTCATTCAGAGAGAGAAGTAGGCAGGAAGAAAAGAGAGCGTATTAAATGTGTGTACTCGCCAACCTCTTTCCCTTTCGACGCTGAAATCTATGGTGACCCACTTCCATTATTCTGATGATTGTGGAAGCTCCAGTGCAACTTGCTCTGTTCTCAGTGGCTACAACCCAAATCTGTTCTGTTTCTATTGCCCTGGCTGACCTTCATATCGCATCAATGTAACCTCATCACTGACGGATTCAGAAGCCTAAGGGCCAGACTCTCCACCATCCATTTATTCTTCTTGGCATATCAAATGTAGCACAAAACTGAAGCAACTGAACCCAAGAAATGAATTCTTTATGCTATGCTAATTTTAGTGTGGACAGTTATACACGCAGCTATAACACACTCGTTTATGTATAGACATAATTCTCATAATAACATACCAATAAACAGCACCAATAAATAGATAAATAATTACAAAATAAATCATAGCTACACTCCTACTTTCAGGTACACACTTCCAGCTGGTCTAAGCCAGTATAAACACAACACATGTGCAGGTGGGAGGGATGACAAATACATCGCAGGTTCACATATATTGCTGTGTCTGTCTGTAAATGTAAAAGGGTGAGGTGAGCGGATGAGTGTTTGTTTACGAGGGAGAAGGAACTAAATCAGCAGCGGGCTTAGAGTTCCTTAAAATTAAAGAGCAGCTGTGAGCAAACGGGGTCTGATTAGGATTGAGGCTGATATTAAAAGTTCACCATCATCACTGTCAAGGGCTGGATTAACAAATCCTTTGATCTTGAACGCATACATACAAAAGCACATACATGCACACAAACACACAGCACCCTGCACATGAACTCAGCCGTCTCTAATGTGGAATTCAAAGTTTTTTTCCATTTGAGTTGCATGCTCCCTCTCTGCACAGTAGTATTTTCTCTAGCAACTATCAGCTTTACAGTGTACACAGTGTGTTTGCATCTCAGATCCTCTTTCTCCCCTGTTAGCTACAGAAAACAGATTATGATTCTCAGTTTAAATGTTTGAACATGTTTTTGTTTTTAAACCCAGGCCAATGACAGAATTAATAACAAAAAGGAAACAATGGCTGGAATAATCTGATTTACTAGTATAAAATTCTAAATTCCTTTCACAAAAGAACATGTACAAAATGACATGACTTGATAAAAAAACTAATCCTAGATCAGCAGTCGGTACTGATTGGATTTTTTTTTTTTTTCTTTTTCTTTTAAATAAAATGCAACACACTTCTTGGTGGCTAACAGGGAATCCAAACCAATTTTTGCAGAACAAAAACAGACATGAAGATTTGAGCAGGCTGCTCACAAAGCCAATGATCTGTCCCATCTTTAGACGAGATATTGCACAAATTACTGACTGACAGATCTCTAAAAGTCAGTGATAGCATCATTCATCGTTTCACTACCAAAGTTCTCCATGAGGAACGAAGAGCTATGGGTCAGCATTATGTGGGAATGTGACAGACAATCTGCATGGAAGGAGAAAATGCCCTTGAAAACTATTAACACTGGATAAAAGTTAACATTAGTGAATCCTAACATGAGCCTGCCATTCTTGGAAATCCCAGATCGGCACTGCATGAGGTCAAAGGTCAATGCCCCACCCCCTTCTGAGACACTAAAGATGTTGGGATGTTGTGGTTTCTTCAAATTCTAGTGACTTAAGATGTGGTCGGCCTATGCTCAGTCACAGCTTTGTCCTTTTCCTGAGAACATAGAAGGAATGTGTTATAGATTTAGTGTCACTAAATGTTATGTCTGACTGTGTATGTGCGTGTATGTGTCTGTGTATTCTCCTCTTACCCGGCGTCGGCTGAGGCTGCCCGGGCTAGTCGGGGAGGGGCTGGGAGATTTTCCCGAATGAGGAGTGGACAGCTGACTGGCCGGCGTCCCGTTCACTGGAGGGAGAAAACAAGAGAGAAAATGGAGCAGGGTGGATGAGATGGAGAGAAATATTGAAATTGATGATCCTTTAAATGTGAATGCATGTTTTCTAGAACAGTTATATTTCTGAGTGTCTAGCAGCAGCCCACACTTCCGCCCTCAGCATCCATCCATGAATCCACATGAATGAGGCAGAGGAGGAGGAGGACAAGAGGGGGAGTAAAAGAGAAAGGAAAAGAGCACTTAAGTCCACACTGGTCTTTTTTTAAACTTCAGCGAAAATACAAATCCTGTCACTCCAAACCTCCCTTAAACAAGCCAATCATGTACCTGAGCCTGCACCGAATAATCACAGCATGTTCCAGGTTTCCAGTGCATGGCTGGAAGGCAACACACAACACCAGGCTGTCCTCGTTTTCAGCCGGATCCTTCTATTCAATGCACTTGTGAACTCAGCTCGGTCTACTTTTCCAGCTGCAGCACAGCACAGCACACAAAAACCCGGCGGCATCACCTCATTAAACAAGAACACAGGATTAATCAACGCTGCACCGAGTCCTGCATGTGGTCAAGCAAAAGCCAGATTCATAAAAAGCCTAACAGCATCATTAAGGTACACGCAAAAACATGAGCCTGTCTTTCATCTTACTGAAAACATGGGTTATTATCTCTTGGCAACAAGACACCGCTTCACCTCAAGATTGTCCTAATTGACCTATACACGTCTATGAAACTGCAGTAATTGATGAATACTAGAACAGTAACCGAACTAATTGCTTAGTCTTCAACCACAGTGAGTCCAACTGGAGGTAGATTAGACTGGGGGGGGGGTTCTGGTTCCTCCAGGGGCCTGATCAGGAGCTCTGAAAATAAGCTTCGATGGTTGGTGCTGTTGAACTTCAACTTGTTAAATAAATGATGTGATTTCTAAGGCGCTGAAAGGTATTTAAAGTGCCAAATAATGAAACTCTTCCATAGTATTTAGAGGGGCATAATCTAACTTAAAAAGATCCAGTGTATAACAAAAAATAAATAAATCACCAGATTCAGTATTTGTGCCATTTCCCAGCCTTTTTTGTAATTATTGTTGCATGTAAACAATATTTTATTCGCAGTCTCCACCAAATTAGATTTTCAGAGACTAACCCTCCGCAACAGAGAAGTGAAACCTGTGGGAGCAAAGTGGTCCAACCTTCACTGTATAATGTTTATACCCTTGCCTAGATCAAAGAACTTTTTGAATTATTCAAGACAAAGGAGATGAAATCCAATGCAGACGAAAATAGCACCGGCTGCCATAGGTTTATTATTTTGAATTTTCTAAACGCGCAGTAAAAGATATGAAATAAAGAAAACGCTGTTGTTTAAGCAATTCCTGGACATCTTCATTGATGAAAATCAGCATCAGCGTTACGCACACAAACAGATACTCCTCCCAGTTACACAACCACAAGCAGGAACATTTAAAGACATCTCTCACTTCATAGGCTACTATAAAACCACAGCACTGCATTTCCCAAAGTCAGCGGTATTCAAAGTCACATCAGCAGTGACCGGGGCGAAACGAAAACAAACTGAATATATCCCAAATGATCTGAGCAGGAACAAGTTAAGTTAGCGCGATCAGGGGAATTGACAAACGCAGTTTGCATAAAAATCCGATGAAACGTGGTTTCAGGTTCCTACCTTCCACTTCCAGCATGATGAAAAACACAGTGATAATCCAAAGCGGGGTAATGAGAAGAAAAACAGCACCTTTGTACGCGCTCCTTCCGAGTGTGATAGTAAACTGGTGAATGGGAGAGACGGAGCAGCGATGTACTAAACGGAGAGGCGGGTAGGCTGCTTGCGAAAACTCTGACGCGCACCGGGGACAGAGAGAGGGAGAGACAGAGAGAGAGAGCGAAGCATAGGAGGAAAAAATGACAATGAAATAATTCTGAAATTTTGGCGTGGCTTTTTACTTCCATGCCAAGAAAATGTAAAACTTCTACTGGGAGAGAAACTGGGAGGAGGTGCAGATATGAGAATGAGGAATATGCAGTATATGGAGAGTCATTCAAGGAGATTGGGTTGGTCAGGACAACACATTCTGGCAGCTTGTCCTACATGGATTCTGAAGGCTCTATTGCTTGTTGTCCAAACCTCCTCAAGTGACAAATGCTGCTAATTTTGAACTAAATGTTCACCCAAAGCAACAACAGCAAGCTCTGCATTTGGGGATTTTTCTTGCTCCTGCTGGATGGATGAAGATGTTCAGTACTCTAGAACCACAGTGGTGCATGATGTCTGTGAAGATTCTCAGTCATCTAGGTCATAGTTATCCAAGGTGGGTTAAAATCAAGGGCAAATGAACTTGATTGAAGATACTAGAAGAAGTCATCTTCAGGTGTCTTCAAGTCCATTTGCCCTAGATTTTAACCCACCTTTGATCAGCGGTGGTCACCTCTGAAGCAGCTGTGTGATGGCAGAGCCAGTCAGCCATTAATTAATCACAGGGTTGATGTTTAGATCCCTGGCTCCTCCTGTGACCTTGAGCAAGAGACTGAACCACAACTTGCCCCCAATGTGTGTTAACAAAATGTAAGTTGTGTTGTATAAAAGCATCAGCCAGATGAATGTCTTGTTAGATCTGTCTTGCATCAACGGTCAACACTCACCCACGCCTAGAGTAGCAAGATGCCAATTTGACCAGAATGCAATGCAGCCACAAACAATGGTGTGTTTCATCTTCTTTCGCACATGCAGCGTTAAAGACTGTGGTGGCACAAAACTTAACAAGGAAGCTGTGCAAGCAATGAATATGGAAAAGCACCTCATGCGTCTGCCTGTCTCCAGCTGTGTGATGTGCTGGATGATACACAGGCTGCATATTGTGAGATAAAAAAAACAAAACATAAACATGCCCTCGCAGGGATTGTGGAATATGGCCTATTGTAAAGATATCCAGCTAAAATTAGGCAACTGGTGACCTAACAGGAGAAAAAAAAAATTGTATTTGGCCTTTATGTAGTTGAAGTAACACCCACGAGTCACTACAAGCATTTCCAGATCCTAAGTAGAAAACAGCAATAGTATACAACTAGTACTAGGCACAGTGGTGCTAATTAGCTAACTAACATGTGCTAATTAGCACTAATGCTAAATATAAGGTAGATCTAAGGCTGATAGCAGTTGTTGTTGGTTTTGCAGGTACAAATAAACAAAAGTACTGGACAAATTAAAAACCTTGACCTTATGGTGGCTATAGATAAAAAGGTAAGGGATCACAGAAGGTATTACCACTCATCCTCTGAGGACCATGGATGTCTGCACAAAATGTCAATCCATCCAATAGTTGTTGAGATTTATTATTATTCAGTCTGCAGATAAGTGGTGGATCGACTGACACACCAACATTGTAATCCCTAGAGCTGTGACTCTAGCACGGTTAAAAATCCAATATGTGCAATACTAGCATGATAAAACAATGCATAAGCACTGCCAGCATAATTCCATTAATTCTATTATATTAATTTATATTTTAATGGGAAAAAACAAAATACTGTTAGCAAATGTGAAGCAATTATCCTTCTTTAAGGGTAATATCACATAGGGTTCCCCAGGTCATGTTAGGGTCATTTGCTGAGCTAAAGAAAGCCAAATGTGACAGCCTGTGACTCTCCATAACAGCAGGTCAAACTCTATCCCTCCTCTCGGTCTGCCTTGATCAAGATGAACTCTGTGGTCCATCTCCTAGGTAACTCAAGGTTGAGATTATATTTATTTTGTTTCATTACACACCGATGAACTGGCTCTCTTTTGAAAGTGTTGCATGTGACACACAATGTGACTAACGTAGGTAAGCATAGTGTTTAAACCAACATCCAATAGAATTCACACATGTATAGAGAGGTGAACAATAACCTTATTTGGACACTCTGTAGGTCTAGGAAAAATAAATACTCCCTGCCAGGATGCGTCCTTCAGATTTAGTTTGGCATTACACAGTGTTCTCACTCTGACTTGGCTTCAATAAATCTTGCGGTTTAAGACATCCGGAGTTTCCTGAAACCTTCTCCATCAATAAGAGTTGACTAGCTCCCAAGAATTTCCATCACAGCGAAGAACACATTCAACACTGACATCGCATCAGGTGTGAACAAAAATAAAAGCTACAACTAAAATGGCAAGCTGGAGGAGTTTCTATTTAATATTGTTTTTGCGATTGCAAAAACAGTGGCCTGGTGTTTTTCTTCTTCTCCATCTCGGGTAGGACTTAATAAAAACAAACTTTAATGCATTACTGGCTCTTAATAACTGACCAGTCACAATCTTCCCTGTGACTTCCCTTATCATACACACACCGTAAAGTAAAAATGGGACATTAATAACGACAAACATATATGGCTGTTAATATAAACATACGATAACATATCAAAGTCCATCTGTGTTCTGAGAGGGCTGTCCAAAGTTATTCTGGGAAATTAGGCCCACAAAATCAGAACTATGCCTCATGACACAATTCCAGGCAATCAACAGGCAAAACAGTCTAACATCCCAAAAATTATGATTGTTGAAATTACATAAGTCAATACAAAGCTGTTTAATAAACACAAAACTGCCTGGAGGCATGTCATTATCTTGCCTTTAGTGCATATATCAATACTGCTATAGCTCTGAATACAGCCTCTGTTGTTTGGTTTGGTCTCTGTTATTTGTTAGGAATGTGCTTATTCATTTTCAGAAAGAACATATACCCGCCATCAGTAAGTTTTATAAAGCAAGTGGGGAAGGCTGAAGACATCATGGGATCACAGTTCAGAGTGTCAGAGCCAGCAGCTGATCCTCTGGAGACGTACCGGATTTATTTGAGGGTCGGCTGCCCCGCGCAGTTCACCATAAAGCCTCTCCCGTCATACGGAGTTGCTCATGACAGAAAGACAAAGGTGAGACCCTGAAGTATCAGAAGTGATGCTTGCTGACACCATCTGCAGTTCTCTGTTAATTTTAGCTGACATGAGGCATCAGAGGAGAGCCGAGAGACAGATGGTGAGACAGGGAGAGAAACGATGTCTGAGTGCAAATTGTTCTCTCACATTATTTTCAGCTGGGGTTGTGAGATCACCACAGAATGAAGCTCGAGTGATGACAATGTCAGCCTGACACACAACAACCTACGCGCACACACACACACAAATACACACACACACACACACACACACACACACACACCACATCAGACCCTCCACAATATGAGTGTGGATAGCTGCATTTCTTTTAACAAGGCAAGCTTTCGTTGTTACCTTGAAATTGCAAGGTGAGTGAAATTGTGCCTTATAGTTGAAATTTATTATTTATCTCTGATGCTCCTCCTTTATATCAATATTTAATATTTGATAACTGCGCAATGATGAGAAGCAAGTATTAGATGAAGACCTATGATTCATCGACGACTAGACTGAGACCTACAGTATGATTCACCTACCAAACATACCAACAACACAGAAGTCTCGATGCTTTGCTGTTTTTCAATAAGAACAAGGAGTTCAGCTCAATCTATGCTGGGCGGCAGACAAAGAAAAAGTTGTTTGTTATTACTGCGTTTCTAAATTGATGCAGTACATTTTTCAGAAGGCTCATGTTCTTGAAGCACACTAGACAAAACAATGTGTTTGTCTAGTCTAAAAAAGCAACACTAAAGATAAAACACATTGACTAAAAAGTGTCTGACTGAGTTTGAGTTTGATCCCAAATTTGCAATAGAAATCTTGTCCTTTATTTGACACTTTTTCCTCTCAATTCTGGAAATGAATGTATTACACTTAACGTTTTTACACATATTTCACTGTGTTATACAGTAAATGGGCAGAAATACTCACAACACAAAACAAGGCAACACATTAAATGACATGAACAACAACCTTTACTCTCTTTCAGATATGATTAGTTATGTAATGTGACTTTTTAGAGTTTTTAGGCTACATTCACTAATGTTAACTTTCTTTGGAGCGCTAAATACGCTTAGTAAGTCTAGTTTTGAATTTTGCGTTAAACACATCCAAATTTTCATATCACTTTTGAAAAATAATGTGTTTTCACATTCATCTTTTTTTGTTGATCAGCGTCAAAAAAGCAACAAATCTAAATAAAACAGTGAGACACGAAAACTTGCCACGGGAGAATACTTTTTAATAGGCACTTTATGAGTGATAATTTTACATTTAATTTTACAGCATAAGAGCCTCTGTTTGTCTTCTTTGCGTGTTTGTCTGCAACTGTCCCTCTGTCTGTCTCACCAGTCTGTTTGTCCATCCCTCACACTCACTTCTGCTACTCAGTGGCGTCGAGGTCTAAGCTGCAGACACACACAACGAGGATCAGCCAGACACACAGAGGGACACCAGGTGGTGTTTGACAGCCCATGCGCTGTCACATGCTCTCCCCGTCTCGCTCTCTTTCACTATCTCAGACATGATTCCTGCTATCACATCTTCTCTGTGCAGCTCCTTTGGTCCAGATTATTAGATATGATAAGGAATATTATTAAAGTCTGTGGTGGCTGAATGGAAAATGAATATATGACTTCAGGGCTGCTTTCAGAACAGCTGAAGACCTGCAGCAAGGTTTAAAATTAATTCTTTATTGTGCTCTCTCCAAGTGTTGAGGAGAAATAATAAAACCCTTCTAGTGTTGATTTCCAAATATCAATAAATAGACAGAGCTTTTCTTCTCAGGTGTCCACAATTTTAATTTCATCGCCATGATCTCAGATAAAAAGGTTTTGAGTGTAGCTGCAATTAAATAACTGACGAATGCAGCAATAAGATAACATTTTGAATAATTAATCAACTTTCATCTAAATTCATTATTCTGCAGAGTTAATGGGCTCACAGCCCTACGTTATTATCACATTTACAACAACTTATACAGTGATGGAAACCAGACTGCCCTGTTTTAGCTGGAGATTAGATTGGAGTATCATCATTTAAGGTGAATATCTTTTTTATGCAAAAGATGAACTTGGACACAGGCAACTCATTACAACTCACTAGGACATCAACACAAGTATCAAGAAGTATCACGAATACTAAAAGTCATACACACACACTCCAGATGAGTCTGGAAACAATAGGCAACCAACCTTTTTAGATCCACTTATTGATTCAAATATTGCCACGTTTCAAGGTAAGTGAGTATTTCATTTGATTTAGGGCTGCAACTAACGATTATTTTTACTACTGATGAATCCACTGAATAAATGTTTAGTCTATAGTCTTAACGTTCAAACAACTGTGAAAATGCTCCTCAAAATTTCCCAGAGAAGTTGACATCTTCAAATTGCTTTCAAGTTGTCTGTCAAACAGTCCTCACTTTTGAGAAGATAAAACCATCAATGTTGGCATTTTTGATTGATCAATTATCAAAGTGTTGATTCATTTTCTGTAAATTAATTAACTGACTGATCATTTCAGCAATAGCTTGATTTTATACTGTTCAGAAAACACACTAGTTCTGGCAAAAGACAGGTGATATATTGTTTCTCACAAAATAGGTCTCAGTTGTTAGACTTTTATGTGACAATAAATCGCAAATAAATTGTATAAATGTAAATGTAATCTCATCTGTCATTTCTTTCTCATATCATACAGGAGCCCAGTAAGGCCATGCTTGTGAACACATACAGTAACAACAGGATGGGCACCACTATATATAAGCCATGTGGTGCAGCACACAGTATCAGCTGTTGTTGACTATTAGCGTAAAATTGTCCTCAAGGGACGGGGGGCCATGGTGTGCTTAACTCCTAAGATAACACTGACTGTGAACATAACAGAGCAACAAAGCAACAGAGTGTCAGCCAGGGTCAAACAGCAGCAATCAATTATTTTTCATTTCCTCCTATCATTCCACTCTAAACACTTCTGGTACAAACTGATGATGCTTTAGGGAATGACTACAGTGCGGTACAAAGCATGCAGAACATTTGATGATGTTAGGTAAGCAGGCGCCAGAAGGGGAACATTTCTCAGAAGTGAAAAACGTCGGGACACTCTGACTCAGGGCTCCAGCGAGGACCGAGCGTCAGTCAGCTCCGTTCTCCACTGCAGGCCATTTCGCAGGAAGTCACTGCCATATATGGCTGTCACAGGCTATTGTGTCTGTAGCTACTGTGCTATGTTTCCATGGCAACCAAGACGAGTCAGTCTCGTTTCCCCTCTCTCTCTCTCACACACGCACAAACACACACACACACACACACACATATTAGTACACACCTTCATGCCAGACTCGCTTCAGCCAGCGAGATCAGATCAGCGCATGACTCACTTTCATAACCTTTTACCCAAAGTTTTCAAGCCACCAGCATCCAGAACTTTCTCAATTCACCCCAGCTGTTTCTCTCCTCCCCTCTGCCTCACCTTTACCTCCACAGCTCAACACAGACAACATGTTAACAACTGTTGGCTTTCATTCTGCAATGCTACACCACCACAAAAAAAGTGTGTGTCAGTGCATGCTTGTGTGCTTCAACAGCAGGTATGATGGCTTCTTTCTGGGGAGTTTCTGTATGTTGCATCAGCCATCGAATCATCCCCAACCCAAAAGGTCTCTGTGCACTCAAATTACAAAATAATAACAGTGAGGAGGAAAAGTCAAGTGTGCTGTTTGCATAACTAGGCTTTTGAGACACAGCCAAAGCTCAAGCTGTGCAAGCGGGAAAAGATTGGAATGATATTTGTTAAAGCTCCATACTAATCACCAAGTCCTCACCAGCTTTGAGCCAGACCGAATGCACGTAGTGCATAAATGACAGCTGCATTCAGTTGCTAGAATGAACTGTTTTATCTGAGAACACTTTGGTACTTTTTCTGCTGCCTCAAAAGTGTTTATTGTTTTTGTTTTGAGACATTCATAAAAGCGTCATTATCAGGCACAAACAATGCAGCGGGTACCAGTGCAAGCTCTCACCATTTTATTACATTTCATTAGTATGTCAGGTGAAGAGCGGCTTGTGGGGAGCTGCAGGATTGAGTCACCAAACCTCTTCTTTCCTTCTCATGTTCACTCCCGCTCCCCCACTTTTTACCTCTCTCATCCCCATTTGCCTTTTTTTCTCCATTCCCTTGTGATATCATTCTCATTTGAAATCATATTCTGCATGCAGACACAGCTCACACATGCACAGACAGAGTAAACACTGCCACATACTCCGCAGAGCTCTGATTCCTTTGCAGTGTTTATTATTATCCTGTTTTTATTTGCTGCAATGCTCATTGAGTAATGAGCTAGAAAATACAAAGCAATCATATGAGGAAGTTTCAGGATACAAACAACTCCTAGCTGTGTCCATCAGGGTTGAGCCACTGCACACACTCTTTGTGCAGGACACACAGACATAGAGAACTCCATTAACAAATGGACTCCTTGAGAGGAACTTATTTTACTGTCTTACCCGATGCAGGGGACTTGCTGCGTTGTAATTGGACGGCGGTCCTGGGGGAGCTTCGGCTCAGAGAGCCAGACATCTTCCCATAGTTCACCGACTTCACCACACGACACTCTGCAAGCACAAAGACAAAGACAAGACAGAAGTGTTCAGGGACTATTTGGAAACCACAAATTCCTTTACATTTATTTATTGATCCACCCAAATAGTCTCCAAAATGTATACGTTTTAGAAAAAGAGTCTACACATTGGAGCTACCAAATTACATGTGAAGGAAGAGAAAACTGCTGCACTCTTGCATACTCAAAACGAAGCACTGAAGGAGTGAACATTAAGTGTGACACCGTGACATGACATTGTGTTCTGTGGCCCACACACCTAAAATATAAAGCTTTAACTGGCATTTGTTTCAAAATGGTCAGTTGTGTTAAACAACTGACCATTTTTTAAACAAATGCCAGTTCTATTAGGCTGAAATTCAAATTTAATGGATTTCTATCTATCTATTCTTTTAATGTTTTGATTGATTTTGACCTTTAGTCACGCAAGAAAACACCAAACCACTAATGTATCAACATAGCTGTAATTGGTTTTACATTCAGGTCACCTGCAAAAATAAGTTCTGACCTTCACTGGGCTCCTTTTCCAAATGCAATTATTGTGGTGTTTCAGGAGTGACAGCCATGACTCACGGAGGTCTGATATTTACACACACTCCTGGTAAATGAGCCATGTGACGGCACTCACACACCCTCCCTACCTCCTTCATCCCCCAAACTTTGCTCCTCTCCTGTTCATTAACCCAGCCCCATTATAGCTCATTACCATTAAAGACCAGCGGGAACTGGAAATTATACACAGTCTGCCATGTGTGCGCGTCGTCGCCTGCACCTATGTGTGTGCGCGTGTGACAGCACAGCTGCGTGTCTGTCTGTCTGTGTCTGTGTGTGTTATTTGCTTGCATGGCAGTCGTTGTGGCCCAGTGATTAATGTACAATGCAGAGTGTTAACATGATGACAGTGTGCCAGAGCTGAGGCAGAGGCGATAATTATAGTGATGTTGAGAGGAGCCGAAGTTGTCTTCAGCTCTGACTCCGACTGTCTCTCTGTCTGTTTCGTTTGTCGCTCTGCTTTCCCGTCTGTACATTTCTGCATTGTGCCTCCTGCCCTCTGCCTCTTGCGCTCCGTCTCCCAGAGCATGAGGAGGTGTCATGCTGCTATCTCCTGGTACAGAGAAAATGTTTTAGTGTGTGTGTGTGTGTGTGTGTGTGTGTATGTCACTTTGTGTGGGGACAAAAATCTGTTCATATGCAGTTTATTTAAAGAAAGAGAGATATGCGTGGATACTAGGCAGAAAATAGGATGATAGTGGCCAAAATTTGTGTATTACAACAGCATTTAGCTTAATCAAATGCAAAGCTTAAAATGCCAATTTCACCACAGTTACATGCAGTTGTCTTAATTAAACCAGCTTCCTCCATAATATACTATTAAAGGCTTTCGTGTCCTTTGGAATGAAATAAGTACAGCAGGGATTCCATCTGGTTTCCAGCTGTATTACATTGCATCACAACTACAGACTACAGTTTTTTTATGAAGCTTTTAGTCTCAATCTTCCACTGAGAAACATCTGAGCCTAGCCGGATACAAAATGGACCAATCAGCTAAATATGAGGAGTGTTTAGATGATGTCAGTCACTCGCCACATCTTGAAACCTCTGAACTATCTATGTAGATGATACTAATTTGAAATGAAGCATATTAGCCTATTTTGAGCCTTGAAAACTGATTTCGGTGGAAGTTTAAGGGAAATTCTTATATTTTTTATAAATACAGAGCAACTATTAACAACTGACCGGCATGTAATGGAGTGGACTATGGGAAACTTAAAACTCTGTTGGCTCCTCTGTATTCAGAAAAAATAATGCCACGTTTCTCTACCACATTTGAAGTAGCCTTTGAGATGGGACAGGCTTTGTCGACCAGTTATGATGTTTTCTGCCGTGAACTTTAAAGACTTTAAATGCAGCAAAAAAAATAAAATTAATATCCTCCAAAATGGACATGGTACTAAATTGGGTGTTGGTGTTCACAGATGTGCAGTCTGTACCTACAGTCCTCGCCGACATGGGGAAAAAAAGCCACCCACACAGCTGCGACAATACGGACGGGAAAAGCATCAGTTGAGTTTAGCTTGCAGACCATAAGAGGTGCTTCACTTCTTGTCTATAGTTCGTTACTACAACAAACCACCAATGGAGACAATAATCAGTAACTAATGAAAATGTAGATACCTTGGAAACTTGTTCTTTAAATGCCTTGTTGCATGTTGGAAGTTATTTTGTGGTCTTTATCAAGATAAGACAAGGTTACCAAAAATAAACTGACTAATGGAAGCAGCTAGTCATTATATTTTGGAAATGGAAGGAGTTTAATGAGGAAGAGAGAGAGGAAAGGAGACAAAAGGGGGAAAGGAGATGGAGGTTGGTGACCCAGTTGGGATGGATATTATTTAATGGATGAAAGGATACAGGGGAAACAAATGAATTGAATAAACCTTTGAAGAAAAGCCAGAGCACATTCATTCATGTAGGAGACAGGAAGAGAGATGAGAGGGTAAGAAAACGGATGGTAGTAGTCTCCAGACTGTGATGCAGAAGTCAAGTCACTTTTATTTATATATCCCAATATCACAAATCACAATTCTCAAGCAGCTTTAAAATGGGAAAACAGACAGTGAAACAGATGGGTGAAGTGAGGACTGAATGTGTCCTCACTAGGCCGAGGTGGGGTGACAGGCAGAGAAGAGGAAGAGGAACAATAGGTTAGGCGATGGCTTAGGTGCAGCGGACCCGTTCTTCCAAGAGGAGAGGAGGAGTGGTGAGAAACAACGGAGTGCAATGAACTGGAAAGCCTACACTGTCCTCTGCCACCTGAACCAGGGAGATGTGTCACATGCAGGGAAGGAAGGGGCTACTGTGCAACTGAAAAGACACAACGAATGGGGAAAAACAAAAAGACAAAAACAAAGAACTTATTTTTTTTACAAGTGAACTAGGAGAATTTGGGAGATTTAAATACCTGAATTAAAACAAAAAAATAACGGGGAAACCAATACACATTGCTATATGTATTTCCTTTTTACATATTCATGCACCATTAATTGAAAAACAAATAGTTTTTGTCTTTAATGACTGTTTTTTTCACTGTTAAAATCTAATCACAACACACAAAACAAAGCGAAGAGGTGTACTGCATTTGTCTCTGTTGTGGAGCAGAGGGCAACATGACTTAAGCTCCACCCATGGTCCCCAAGTTGTGATTGGACAGTTGACTTTAGTCTTTCATTTTGGCATTCACGATGCATCAAGAAAGACAAAGCTCCCTTATTCATTTAGGCATTTAAAATCCATAAAGGGAACCATATTCTGACTAATAACCAGAATGCATTGATTTGGCCTTGATATATAGTTATAAAAGTTGTAGCATAACCGCATTTGGTTTTAAAAGAAAACATATTCTAAGAATAATTAAATAATAAATAAAAATATTGTTATCCTACTTGTCCAGGAATGTCATGTTTTGTTCTTGTCAGATTTGATGTATATGGGATCAAGTAGAAGCTTCCCTGAAAAGGGTTGTAGGAAAATAAAGTTTCTCCAGTGTTAAGGTTTTAAAATTACAATACTTGCAGGAGGATCCTCACAAATACATTGTAGTCGGAACTTGTAAACAGGAACAGGAAAATAATAGTGAAAATAATAGTTAACAGTGAAATTAGAGAGGATGTCAATTACAAGCAGTATTGAAGATTAGATTAACTGAATGATGAATTGCTGGACCCTAGAAAATAGCACACACCAAAAAATAACTTTAAACAATCACAGCTGGGTGGCAGGAAGGAAAAGAATAACATAAAAGCTGCACACTGAACAGTCAAATGTAAATGTCAGCATGGAAATGTCAGAAGAACTGCTAGTCGCCTCACCGCTCTCATCCAGCATCAAGTCATCTTGGTAGCGGAACTTCTCCGGTCCACACGCCACAAAAATGTCCTCATCGCCAAAGAAGTCTTGCAGACAGGACACCTAGAAACAAGGACACACAGATGAGTTCAGTGATTATTTTTCCACATCCTTTATTATCCTAAGCACACTCGCTCTTTTTCAGCGAAGCTTTACATTTACACAGATGGCAGCTGCCAAGAGTAATGACAGCTTTCTACCGTAAGGGGCTGAATGCCTTCTTCAAGGGCAACTATTTCTTGAAGGAAAGGAGAGGTTTCTCACAACAACAATTTCCCAGCTGGTCTGCAGTGTTTTAAATGACAACTCTGTCGTCAGTCATCTAGTTTCCTAACTGATTCTGTATACACCGTAGAAGACACTCACATACTAACACCGTGCTCTGCACTACACATGCTCACAAACTTTCCCTTCCTGTGCTTAGCTTAAAAAAAGCACATACAGTGAGCCCCAGGAGATGGATAAGGAACAGCAGGGGTCTCTGTTTGTATGTGCTTGTTTTTATTTTCATGCATGCTCATCTGTGTGTGTGAATATCTGTGCGCATGCCTGAGATATCTCTGAGCTACAGGGCTGTTCTGCAGTTTATCAGTCTATCAGCGACTATAATGAAACCTTGCTGACTCAGTAATTTGCTGATGGGGTGCAGCATGTGCACCGGACATCCAGAGAAGCAAGTGGAGGGTCTGTTCCCTGAAGACCAGCATCTTATGAATGGTAATGAGTAACTACCTAACTAACTAAAGTAAGAAAGTAAGACAAGAGAGGCGAGTGCATATACGAGCTACAGAGAGATAAAAAAAATGTGAGGCAGAGAGAAGTTGGAAATAGAATTTGCTGTTGAATAAGTACAGAGCTGACTATGTTTATATCTGACTCACATAAGAAAAAGAAACCTCTTCTCGATGAGTCACTGCCATTCTGTGATAGACTCCATACTGTGAGGGTAATACCAAAGGTACGGATTTAAAAACATTGTGTCACTAAATGCAACACAACAGTGACTGGGTCATTAAAGATAAAAAGGTTTTTTTGGTCTTCAACCCAAGCTGTTAACATGTTCATTCTGTCTGCACAGGACAGATGTTGTTTGCCTTTTTAAACTGTTGAAACCTCAGCATCGGGGCGTTTATTATGACAAAAATAAACACGCTGCTGTTCATTATCTGATTTTATCAACAGTTAATTCCGTATCTGATCTAAACTCTTCATGATTTACTCAAACAACTATAATTACACCCCACAGGCCAACCATCACATTTCAATCCCAAGCCATCAATATTCCAAATTATATGTCACGATATGCAGTGGTACAGTCACAAATGGATTTATGGGAAGACAATAGTTCATTCAGCCGCTATAACAAATCTCCCAGCAAAACCCTATTAAGAGCTATTACAATTTAGGCTGCATGCATGTCTAGCACCGCCTGGAGTTAACACATAAACACAAAGCTACTGTTATTGCATTTTCATGGCAATTAACATCCAAGAATCCATTTAGATTCCTATTAGCTACCGATCAACACCCCAGAAGAAAGTCAGAGCTAATATAACAGCAATATCAACACAAAATACCCAATAAACAGCAAAGAGGCTATTCTGTGTGTGTGTGGGGGGGGGGGGGGGGGGTCATAGGAGTCATCCTGCTTTACCCCCCACAGACTCTAAATGAGCCAACGGGGGAGACAAAAAACCAAGTTTAATCTCAGCCAGACTCTCTGTGGTGTACGGACCGTTTTCATTTAACTTTTCAAATCAAGGCTCGGCATCTGTGTGTGTGTGTGTGTGTGTGTGTTTGTGAGGAAGCAGTATTATTCTAGTTTCATAACAGAGTGCATATTGCTTTGTTCCCTGATATCCCCTGATAGTGTGTTGGTGATTATTTCAGGGGTGAGCGGCCCGACTTCCTAAAAAGATGGCTGCGATACAGATGCTGGTGCTATTAACATTTTCCCAGTGTATCAGTGCTGATGGATAGCCTTGACCACCTCTCATTCTACTGTTTTTTATTTCACTGTATTTTTACAATGTTTTCATCTTTATATCAGTTTTATATTGCTGTTGAATAGTATCTGTTGTGTCCACTCAGCACAATAAGTTTTAAACTTTTAAAGTTTTGCAAAATTGTGACTGATATTGCTGTTAGCTGTTCTTGGTTCAGTTAGTCTGTTGTCACATATTCATAGTCAGGCTCTCTTACAGTACTCAAAGCAATTTGAAGATCTCACAATAATGATGGAAATTTCTCAGTATTTCAAAGACAAAACAATCCATTTATTAAGAAAAGTAGCATCTGCAGGAATATTTTGAAATGTGCTGACAAATTACCTATTTTGTTGTTTAGGAAAAAGCACTTTGCTACTAGCTAGTTCGATACTACTATTTCTGCCACTTCAAAAGAATTTGTCTTGTGCTTCCCTTGTCTTGTGAGTTTAGCAGTATTTCTGTGAAAGTGTGTGTGCACAGCATAGCAAGTAATTGTTACAATTCAATTCAATGCAATGGGGGCTTACTGGCATGTGAAACAGATGTTTATATTGCCAAAGCAAGTGTGTAATAAAAACGTATAGCCTATATAAACAGAAGAATTATGCTATTAAAAATGTATACAGATATACAACTCATGTACAAAAATGTATCAATTCAAAGTGTTAGAACCTCAAAATTGCTCTTACATACAGAACATCTGTATACCTACTTTTTTAAACCACAACATTTATAGGGGCTGGATGATCTACAGAGAGTGGACAAAATATAAGGTGCATTAAACATTATGATGTAAACCACTACTCTCCCTCTACCTTAAAGTCCCTGATTCTGTTTATCACAGTGCACTGCGTTTTATCACAGGTAATGCATTCCTCGAACGATAGCCCTATTTAGCTCACGAAGGGAGTTGCACTGTACGTTATTAATCTCTTTAACGCTGCCCGTCACATCTAAATACAGTAATTATGATGTTGGGTCACAGGACATTTTAACTTTAGCTGTTACCGCATGTTCAAACAAAACTGTTTATAAATAATGTGCTTTAGTGCCTGCTCCTGTTTAAATAAAAAATTTTAAAAACACTATTGATTTTAGTAATTCTTTTTTCAATTCATCAGTGTACTGTTATCTAATATCATAAAATAGTGAAACTGGCCATCACACATTCCCTAGGTGATGTTATAAATAGCAAATTTTGTCCAACCAACAGTATAAAACTGAAAGGTATCAAAATGTACAGTTATATAAAACAGAGAAAAGATGAAAATCCCCACATTTGAGAAGCTAACAGACAAGTAACCCATGATTTTTATTCACAAGACACTCATCCTGCTGAAAGCTTTGTTCCTGACAAAGACGATGTTGTTGGATGGGTGTGTGTTTGCTGCTCTGAATCAAGTCTGACCACGTCCTTAACCAAGGACTGCTGCTGTTACCAGAGTCAACCAAGAGGAGGGCTGCTGGAATGAAGCCCTTTGAAGCTGCTCACCTCGTGATGAAATCACAGCACGCTAGAAAAGACAGGTAAACAGGGAGGAAAGAACCGAATGTAATTAACATGATGGGGACCGAAAGAGGAATCTAGAAAGAAGAAATGAAGGGAAACAGGAACAGTCTTCATGTAGGGCAGCCTTTGAGGACACCTTTAAGCTAAGGGTAAACCAGTATGGAGCAACACATTAACACATACTGTATACTGAGAGGGGTGTGAAAAAGTATGGTTGCCATGGTGATAATGCCCTCTAGGCAATGGCGCACGGCTGGTGAGTGCCACTGACTGCACTGTGTGCACACTGTGATAGAGAACTCCATCATTCATATTTTATCTACTATGGGCACGATACTCTACAGAACTGTGTCATTCACACAGATCTACACACAAACACATACAACTGGCACATGGCCTGGCTACTAGTGTTGAAATACAAAGATTATGTCGAGAAGAAGGCGAGCTCTCCTTAAACGCTCGGAGAGACAGGTGGACCAGTGAACGATGGAGAGGAGAGGGAGCTGGTAAAGGTGAAAGGAGAAGAAGAAACAAAATAGAAACAGTCAAGATGAAACCGACTAGCCAAATTCCCCTGGGATAAGAGAGGAAGCAAACAGACAGAAGGAAACGAGCAATAGAGGAGGAGATCTATTCCTGACTGCTGCTCTGAGCCCTTCTCTGAGCCCAATGACAAAACAAGCTGCTTTGATGTCTCTGGTGCTGCGTTCTCACAGAGAACGAGCGTGGTTACACAACATCCACTGCTGCTAAAACAAGGGCAGGAAGAACCAGACAGGGAAACAGAGGAAAAGAGGGACTAAAATAAGATGATGAGAAAAGAGCACAGGATTGTGGAAATTAGCAATTTCATACCCCTCTTTATTAAAGGAGGAAACGGGGCTGTAACACTGGGTCATGGTGATCAAAGCACTAGCCCACATTAAAAAAGGATCTTTAGATTTCAAATAATGTATTTATTCAAGCATTATTTGGGTTTAGAGCAAAATTAAATCATGACTGCAGAAGCAAGGCAGAAGGTTGACAGGTTTAAATATTGTGTGTCACATCTCACATGCCTGACAAACTCCAATCCCCTTCCCTTATTGTCCACTGAGACCATGGCTAACTGGATAATTTATCATCTACTGCATCATGGTACTATACATGCCAAATGGGGAAAAGAACATTGGTTTGATATTTAGTTATATTTAGAAAGTCAAAGAAGATTTACATAGAGAGGCTTGTATAAAAGGAAGCATCCACATTCTCCTCCTGAAACTGTCTTACACAACAAATTATAATTCACAATGAATATTTCTCAGTAAACCCATTTATGTTCTTACTACCCCACCTAGTGTTGAATAACCAAACACCTACTGGAGTGCCTGCTACTCTCTCTCTCCCTTGTTTGTTCTTCTTTTCTTTCTTTGTTTCTTTGAGATTAAATACAGATCACTTTTTTTTTAAACGGCTGGTTTCGGTCAGATATGGAGCTGCAAGTTTGCACATCATTGCTACAAAGGTGGATCACAAACTGAGAGAAATGATCGCTGCCACCACAGGGAGGCACTGTTAAATAACCA